CAATATCTCAATTAACAACGAAGATAAAAGCGGATGGAATTATTAAACGGTTTGCTAATAATGAAAATGCTTAGATACGCCACTGGTATACGGTAAATGGGTCTCAATGGGCATTTTGAAGCCAAAAATATTTTAGTTCGTACCTTCCTATATGTTTTTCCATAAATGAATTAATAGTAACATATTTAGAAAAAATAATATAAAATATGGCGGCCATTTTGACAGCTGACAGAAAATTGTCAATACACGATTATTCTTTTAAAATTAAAAAAATTTCGATTTTCTGTTATTTCCGGAAAAACCGGAAGTAATCCATGACGTCACAGAACAATTGAAGCCATCAAAAGAAAGTATTTGTTCTAGTCTTTCACACAGAACAAAATTATTTCGATAACTCACTGAATAGCGAAGATAAAAGGGAGTGGAACTTTAGTAGTAGTAGTAACCCTAACAATGTCACACCTGTCTGACAGAACTGATACTTAAGTTATCATAACAAGTCTCTAATAAATAAAATAACCCAACAAAAAAGACAAAACTAAAATAAAGTAAGAACAAGAAACTTAAAACACATTTTTAAAAAACAAACGGAAGGTGTGATATAAAAGAAAAATATGAACAAGAAGACACAGCCATACATAATAATAAAAAAATAAAAATTTATAAAAAACAAAAACATAAAAAAACTCTATCAAACACGATGATGAACACAAAAAAAATTACTAGGAAAACGCAAATTAAATTTTTTTTTTTACTAAAAACATCGATAACAGAAAACAATTTATTTTTCAGTCAGCCTATTTTCATTCATTATTCGCTCCGTGCGTGACAGCAGCGCCAACTATTTTATGAACTAACGGACGATATTTGCGTATACTGACAATACAATGTTTAATAGAGTTCGTAATTAAAAAATATATATATGTTAATTTTAATAAAAGTATATGAATTTGTAAAACAAGTGAAAAAATTATTATTATATATTTTTATTAGTGCAGCTAAAAAAGTAGTGTAATCAATAAAAATCAATAATAGAACATAGGCAGATATTTAGGAGAAAATGTATGAGATCTTGCCTAAGCCTAATAAGTTGTAATTGAAGAATAGGTTTAATAATGTCAAAATAAAAACATTACCATTATATAATAACGTAGAATTAAAACGTATTAACAAAAATAATTGGTATGTTTGTGATTGTTATTTATATTCACTACATTTTTAGTTCGAAAGAACCCATAGAAATGAATGATTAATACTGGTTTCCTATCAATAAGTTACAAGATTGCATTTCAGCTATATACAATAATAATTAAAGGCAGAAATCTAATCATTTGCTAAACATTTAAGATTTAAGAAGAAGAATATAATAAAATAATAATTTATTGTTTTTTTAAAACCTTTTCTGATGTTTATTATTTCCAATATTACTGTAATTATTACAAAAATAAAGGTTTTTTTTTTCTTCTTAAAATACAGCTGTCCATTTATTTCTTTGATTTAATTTCGATTTTGCTACTAAAAAAGTATGTGTTAGTATAATTTGAAACATAACAACTCCTGTTGCTCATTTTGTTATTTTTAACTTATTTTTTTAGTAAAATGTATACATGTATTTGATACGCCAAAATTACAAAATATCGCCCTAAAGTAATTGAATTATCCGCGGCTTGCGCTAGTATCGGTTTTGCTTCCCCTACTATGACTTCGCACTGATCGAATAGACCGCAGCCATGTTTTAACATGCCTTAGCGTGCCAAACGTTCTTTCGATTAACTCTGTCATTGGTGGAAGAGCCATAAATAATTTTTAAACCACTTTGTATGTCTAGATAAAATTCACAATGTTTGGACGCTATATCATTAATGGAGAGCTTATTGTGTGCAGAAAGCTCTTTCTTAATCCAGTTTGGTATTCAGCTTCAAAATTGTCGATTACAAATTTTTCTACTAGTTTCATTTTCTAATTGGTGGTTAAAAAAGTATTTTTTAATGTTTTTGGGATGTAACAGGCTTAAGAAAAAACTAACAGAGTCTTCGGGAAAGCGTGATGTAAGCGAAGCAAGGGAATCCAGATATGCAATAAATATATTCAACCTATAATATTCTTCAACTATATTAGCCTGAATATTATTATTTCTATGAGATTGTTGTTCGTAATGCATATCTTACGCATTGTTAATTAAGTCGTAAAAGTCAGGGGGGAACTGCCCCCTTTGCCCCCCCCCAAACGACTCCCATGCATACGTCCATACGGGTTTCAATATCTGTCTGTAAAGAAGCAGTTTGTTGTATGTGGATAATTTTTCTTAGCAACCAATAGATTCTTCTGTTTTTTATACTAAGCTCTTTTCGTTTCTTTTTTAATATGGAATTTCCAGAGAAGTCTAGCAGCAAGTGTCATAACCAGATACTTTGCTGTATTGGCCAAATGGATCTGGGTGTCGTTTATTCTAATAGGAATATATTCATTTTGTTTATTGCTGAAGTTGATATGGACAGATTAGAGTTTATTTAATTTTATTCCCCATGTTTTCGTCCAGGTGTTAATCTGGTTTATAGATTTTTGCAATTTTCTATTAGTGTTTTTGTGATTTTTTCCAACAGCAAGGATTACGGTATCATCAGGAAAAGTTGCGATCGTATTGGGCTCAAGATTAGGAATATCTCTGCTATACAACAGGTAGAGTATCTATTGGACCTGGTACAATACCTTCAGGTACTTCTGCCTTAATTTATCTTAGGAAGATATATGCTTCTTGAGATCGGGAATATTGTTCGAATCTGTAGGCCAGTATATAGGCTTTCCATTTGACATTTTTTGACATTTGTGTTGATGGCTTGATGCTAATAGTTCTTTACCATTGGTTGTAGTCAGTCTAGAGCCCCAGTGAGTATGTTTCGCTTTAAAGTCTCCTCCACTGTGAATCTGTATCCTTGGCTATCCAGAAAATCAAGGTATTGTTGCAAAATTAGGTTAAGACAAATTGCAAATTACATGAAAAATGTTCAAGTCATTTTGAAACGTTCCACGAGATATTAGCTTGTACTGTGACAATTAATATTTAACAATAGCCGTTATTAAATATTGCGTCTAAATCTCGAAAATATTTTAATATCAATTTGATAAGACATAATTTTGGTATCAATTGATTATTAATGCCAAAAATATGTCGAATCAAATTGTAATTTAACTATAACAAAAATAGCAGAATATTAGGCAAGGTCGTGTTATGTTTGGGATAACTATTTCACTAGACCAAAAATATTGACTATTTCTCTAAAGAAAAAGTCTAGTGAAATAGTTAATTTATTTGGTTCTGATTGTTTCTAACGATAACCTATATTAAGATGTGATTAGCTAAAATATCAAAGTTGACAGACGGGGGAAATAATATGACTTTTTCTCCTTAAAACTATCCTAGTGAAAGTCAATTACCAGGAAAGTACGCACTTTATTTAAGCGAGACAGCATTCTGAATAAAGCAGACATCGTAGCTGTAATTACTGATTTATTCCTAAAACGTCTGCTTGCACCATAGATAAATAAACTCGCGAAAACCATCACCACTCAAATTAAAAGCCATTTTGCTCGTTCTAATACGGCAGCTAATGCGGCAGCTAATGCGACAGCTCTGCTTACCTGATACAAAACACAATCTGAATGCTTGCAATAAATAAGGGCTTAAATAAATTTGAAAATTAAGAAAACAATTTCAAAAATCCCCATACGAATTTCTAAGACACTAAATGTGAAAACAAATATTTTTAGATTTGAAAAAACTGTCACTGGTGGGAGTCGAACCCACATCATCACGTTTGCCGGACGTGTGCGTGTAAATGTCTTGATAGCCTCATGGTAAGGGCACACGTCTGGCAAACGCCAATGATAGGTTTTTTTTTTCGTTTTCACATTTGGAATCCGGAGATGGTCTTAATAATTCATAAGGGGAATTTTGAGAATTGTTTCTGAATTTCCATATTTATTTAAAAATTTATTTTCAGATAATTCTGACCATTCGGATTTGGATTTGTGATGTACAATAAGTTAAATTCACAATTTTCAATAAGGACTTGATTGTAAATGAATTGATTAGTCTAGTAGATTTCGTCGTTGCAATGAAATTATAATTATTACTGTTTTAAGTAGATAAGGAAAATTTGGAACTCCGCCAATGAGTTGTTTTATTTGCGAACACAGCCATGTAATATATTTTCTTAAAAAAGTGTCATAGGTATATTACTGTAAATGATATTTTTTTAAATTCAAATCAGTCAAAACATGAAGCACATGGCTTCCTCGTATTTGTTTAGTCGTCTGACCTAAGTTGTAGGTTATCTGTTTATTCCTGAATACAAATGTATATTATTTCCAATATTTCATTATATTCTTTTCTTAAAGTATTCAGACGCTGACAAAAACATTCTATTTTAGTTAGTCAGATTGTACGGTGCGTTTCATTTCAGTTACAATATAATTTATTATTTATAATGTACCTACGTCATGAAACTAATAGAAAGTGGTCAAACACTTTAAACAAATGCACGGACTCATCAATTTTTTATTGAAGAGGGATATCTTATTATCATATCCTCAACTAGTGGTGTAGCTAGAAATTTATTTTGGGGGGCCCATATTTTTTTAGTGATAGTTATATGATCTGTTTACTCGCATGTGCCTAAAAATATCAATAATAATTAAACAAATGAATATATATTTATTAAGAAAACAAATTTAAAAAAATTAAAAAATCATATTTTCTCTACAACTAAACTGCAATTCGTCGCTTCTTTTGACAAAATATATTAATATTTTCATTATTGTCAATTTTAATATCTCTCTGAATACTCATTAGAGCTAAACCTGTTGTACGCTCATCACCAGAATGGTTCCTCAGGTAAGTTTTCAGTTTCTTTAAAGTTGAAAAGCTCCTTTCCGCTGTAGCTGTGGATACTGGAAAAACTTACAGAATACGCAGTGATACATGAATATTGTGGAAAAAACTAGGTGTCCAGAGCATATTCTGGTACGTCCGTTTCATTTTGCCACTTCACTTTCCACATGTCCCACTCTCCCTCTAACGCTGAAAAAATATTGGTATTCAAATCTTTTTTGTAAAACTCCAAAGCAGGTTTTATAGAGACAAATGGTAATGATTTAGCAAATTTTGGTACCACCTTTTGCAAAGAAGATATTACTGTTTTATGTTCTGTAAATCTTTCATCTAAAGAACAGATAAAATCGTCTATATACGGCACAAAAATAGATCTTCTATAGTATTCTTCTAGTGTGCTTTCCTCAACATTTGTTCTTTGTAGTTGTATTCCTACTATCCTGGGCATAGCGGGTTATACTCCAAAAGTAAGGGATATCTGTTTAGCTTCATTAAAAATCTTTAAAAACTCAGTTTCAGCGTTGCTTCTTATATTTTTAATAAGAACCAACGTATTTTCTACAGCATTTAGGGCAGAACATAAATCAATTGACTTTTGTTGTAAATATTCAGAAAGGAGTTTTGTAATTCCCAAAAGCTTTTCCAAAACTTTTAAAGCAATTATAAATTGAAAGTTGCACAAACACTGATGTAACGTTTCAGCTTTATCGTCACGATTTCTTAGGTCTTCTATTGCTAGCACTATATACTTTAGGCAGTCCGCAAAAAGAAAAATAGTATTGTGTCTTTCAACCCACCTTGTTTCGCAATATTTTATTAAAGTAGTGACCTCTTTTGACCTCTTTAAGTTTTTGAGACCTTTGCGCAAAAATTCTAAAGAAGGAACATATTTCGCCATTTTTATTAAACATATTTCTTATAACAGACACTTTTGAAGCGTCATTTAGGCATACATTTAGACAATGGAATGCACAGTGAGTGTATATTGCTTTTGTAAATTCTTCTTTTATTACTGCTTGACATCCTCTGAATTTTCCACTCATTGCGGCCGCCCCATCGTAGCCCTGCCCTCTCATATCATTGAGCTCTAAACCTAAATTAATTACCATATCTTTTAGTGGAGCAGCAAGTCCGGAGCCACTAACGTCATCAACGGGAACAAAAATTAAAAAATCTCTAATTTTATCTTCAGGATCCAAGTATCCGACACATATTGAAAATTGTTCTACTCTACATTTGTCAGTGGTTTCGTCGGCAAGACCGGTAAAAAATGTTGTTTTCCTAATTTTTTTCAATAATCTTTCTTTAAATGTATGATCCAATAATATTTATCATTTGATTTTGAATGTCAGGGCTCAAATAAGTTGCGTTAGCTCCTGCAGTGTTAATATGATCTAGAAGAAGAGAATCACTGTCCCGGATTCGATATCTCAATAAAGCTCTCAAGTTACCGTCGTTTGCAGTCGTATCTTCTAAAGTTAATTTTTCAGAGTCCCTATGTCCGCTTAATGCCATCTCTTGCTGCCCACAAAAAAAAACAATGGAATCAATTATGGAAGCCAGAATTGCTCTATTTCGTTTTTGTTCTTCGTGATTTCGATTAGGCAACATTTCAACATTCAATAGGTTACCACTATTTGTACTGCAAAAATTTTCTGCTAAAATACAAGCTTTTTTATGATATTAGTTTGATGCATGATTGTTAAACTATTCAATGGCATCCTTCCAGTTCTTAAAAGCCGACGCACCAAAGTTTCCAGGCTTCTGATATTTACCTTTACCAACATCAATCTTGTGATGAAAAAACACGCAACTTTTACAAAATACCTCTTTTAAAGCATCAGAGTAAGCAAGCCAGTTATAGTTAATTCATTTGAAAATATCTCTTTTTATTTCCAATAATTTGAGGCTTCATTTTAGTTGTATTTAAGGGGCGCCATATTATATTCTTTAAAATATTAAGTGGTTCGACTTCATTGTTTATTTTATCTTTAAATTCAACATACAGACCAATGTCAAATTTATTGGGGTTGTGGTGGAGAAACTGTGTCGAAATTATCATGTACGTTAGCGATACCGATATCACTGGTAACATTTGATGTTGATTCTTCTTGATTCTGTACTGTAAATCTATCATGACCAAGGCTTGTTTCCTAAAAAAAGTACGATGTCACTGGGGCTGATTACGTTCCTGCATCTGCAGTCTGCCGACAGTGCCGACGACATACACTTACAACACGAACACGTTAAGATGCCATTACACGGCGAGTGGAGTGCCGCGCCAATGCGCATTTGGGCCATAGCGATCACACGGCGCACAGTGGCGCGGAGCGCCACTGTGCCACCCAAATTACTCTACGACTCACAGAATTGATCCGTTTTAGACGTGCGTCACCTTAAAATGTTCGTCTTGAGTTTGCCTATCGACCCTTGTTCCGGGATTTTTGATTTCGAATTTTATTTTTCTGTAATTTGTGTCCAAAAATTTACTTTCATGGAAAAATGGCGATTTTGGGTGCAAAAGTCATCCTAGCGAACGCAACATTGAGTTTTTACAAAACTTTTTTGAAGGAAACTCTTCCTCTTGACAACCCTTACAGCCCTGTGTATGTCAAATTGCGAGAGAAATTGGCCGTCATGCCTAAAAACGACCATAGTGATCCAAAACTATTGATGCGAAAGGAAATTGTTCCTCAAAAATCTATTGGAACAAAAATCTAAATTTGTTTCAATAAAAAGTGTTTGTAATCAATCCAGCAATACGTAAAAATTTTCTCAGAATGTTTGAGGATATTTTTGGCCATTTAATTTGGCCAGGAAATCGCCAAATTCCAGAATCTCGGAAAATTTCCAAAAATTCTGTAAAAATTCGGACATATTCCTTAAGTGATACTGAACACTTTTCGTTCAATTTCGTTCAATTTCTCTCGCAATTTGACGTACACAGGGTTGTAGGGGTTGTCAAGAGGAAGAGTTTCCTTAAAAAAAGTTTTGTAAAAACTCAATGTTGCGTTCGCTAGGATGACTTTTGCACCCAAAATCGCCATTTTTCCATGAAAGTAAATTTTTGGACACAAATTACAGAAAAATAAAATTCGAAATCAAAAATCCAGGAACAAGGGTCGATAGGCAAACTCAAGACGAACATTTTAAGGTGACGCACGTCTAAAACGGATCAATCCTGTGAGTCGTAGAGTAATTTGGGTGGCACAGTGGCGCTCCGCGCCACTGTGCGGCGTGTGGATTGACAAGCTTCGAGCCGCGCGGGTCACTGGTCTTCATTTGAATATGTCCCCCGACGACTTTTCATTTGAAGTGTACAAATTTTACCGACAATAGACGGGACATGGCGAGCCGCGCGGAAATCGGCACGCTGGACCATTCTCATGGCGCGTAGAATGACACTCTACGCGCCTGGCGCGGCACTCCATACGCCGAGTAATGGCATCTTTATACGTGTGACAATATTTAAAGAAATGGCCCTGGAAGCGACCGATAAAGTTGAGGTAAAAAAAAAACATTTTGCTTACCTTAGTTTTCTTATTGAAAGAGCCTAATAAAGTTGATTGATTAGCAGAACGTTTTCGATTATTATTGAAACTATTGAAAGCCATAATTATCATGGGATTATGAAAACAAACTTTTAACTATCTGAGAACACCAATAAAACTTTTGTACACAAATACAAATTAAAATACCAACACCAATAAAACTTTTGTATACAAATATAAATTAAAATACCAACACAAATAAAACTTTTGTACAGAAATAAAAATTTTATACACAAATAAAACTTTTGTACACAAATAAAACTTTTGTACACAAATAAAACTTTTGTACACAAATACAAATTAAAATAGCAGTAAGTGTCGCGCTCTTGCAGATGTATTATTGTATGTACGTTATAGTCCAGTAACTGAAGACCTGAAAATATGCAAAGCTGTCATTAAGTCGGTCCAGATTTTCTTTGTGGCTCAATTCTTAGGTCTTGACGGTTGCTTTCAAGGGCGAAAACTTTTACCAACACTGCTGGGTCAGAAAGGGCTCAAAATGGCCCCTAAAGTCCGATAAAATGGTTTCCGCTAATATCTGCCAAAATATACAAATTAGACAATTTTTGTTTGAATAAAAAATGAAGATCGTATCATTATCTACAAAAATGAATATTTTTTGCAAAAACGGCCTTTGAAAAAGCCCGAATTTTTGCACTGAATAGAAATGTTAGTTTCTTACTGAATTTCCGCTCGAGCGAGTTGGTAATACATTGATTTTCATGTTTTGGACTTTGGAGACCAATTGTAGATGGCGCCAGCGGCATACCTCTGCTCACTAAATTATAGAATGAATGGAAATCCGGGCACTAATTGATCTTCTGACAATTATTGGCGGGATTTTTTCTGTAAAGTGGCGCTTGGGATATCTCATCTACATTGCCGAATGTTCTGTGTAATTTGCGTTGCAAAATTTAATAGAAAAGTGCAAAAAAATTTTTTTTTCATGTGGCAGTCTCAAATCCCGGCGCTTTGCCTAATAGTGGGTTACTAGTTTTAGAGTGTGATGAATATTGACCCGAGAAGGCCCTTTATATTTTCTGCGTCTTTTGCAAAATTTTCGCCAACTTCTATCGGAACAATATAGGTCTAGGATTTCAGAAAAATAAGAAAGTTTCTGAAAATTTTCTTTTATTATGAAAAACATGTTGAAAATACGAAATACATAGTAATGCTTATAATTTATCATACCTTAAACTATTAAATGTCATCAAAATCATACTCTTCATCGTCTTGCTCTTGCTCTATTCCTTCCCCTCCTCCACGCTTCCCTTCCCCCTGTTTTTTCAACCCCTGTGTTGCTGTCTCGACAGCTATTTCATCCTCAACTCCACCATGGTGTAAATCTCTTCCCCAGTTTCTCGAATATAATCAGCAATCTGCGCTGAAATATCTGTGTCCTTGGGACGTCCCTTCTGTTTGGGCTCTTTAGCAAGTTTTTCAGGTAATTTAGAAAATGCCAGTCGACAGGCTTGATGATATCTTGCACCAACTGCTACCAGGTTGATCTCAGAAATCCTGTCTAACATCACTTTGTATTTATCAATATCAAGCTGAGACTTGAATTCTGGCTCCGAAACCAATATGATGGAATGCTTATTTTGAGAATCGTTCTTCTTTTTCTCGCTTGCTGTAGAAGTAGGTACCTTGCAGAATAAACACTTGCCTTTAAAGTCAAAGCAAGTGGCTCTTATCTTTTTCCTTTTAGGGATTGTCAAATGGTCCAATCTCTTTGAGGAGTGCTTGATAAAGTCGTTGTAAGGAAACTCGTCTCTTCGTTTAATAATGTAGCGTCTCCTGCAGGTTTCGTGCATCTTTATAGATGATTGCTTCTTTATGAATAGGTGAAAATTATCATCCCTTTCCTTGCTCACATCAATTAATTTTTCTAAGCCTCGAGTGACATTTGCAACGTCATCCACAACTTCCTGGTCACAAAGAAAACATTTTGGAACGGAGTCCGCTTCCATTGCTGCAACAAGAGCTTTACAAAAATATATTATTGAAATGTAATAAGAATTACAACAAATTTATAGACTTTATTTTAAATCAACTAAACCTTTTCTGTTCCCCACAAACGAAAAACAAATTCTTGAAAATTCAAGAATGATGTCGCATTTTACACTTTAAAAACTTCTTTTTTTTTAACAACTTAATTGATAATGATAAAATACTATCAATATTTTTCTAAAATACTATCAATAATACCGACAATAACGACTCCAAAACCAACAGAGATTGTATACCAACAAAAGCAGACGATTAAGGTGAGCGCGTTGCGCGTGGGTACACGTGGTTAGGTTATGATGGAATATCATGGATCTCATTTAAGAACCACGCTCGCAGACGGGGATCAATTAAAAGAAATGGAAAGGTGAGAATATTAGCTTCACTTCGGTCTGGGTATTAATGTTCAAAAAATGAACAGCGAGGAACAAGAAGTATTTAAAAAAGTCCGGTTTTCTCCGGTGTGATCAACTTTATTAAAAAAAAAAACAAAATACATTCGAAAAGTAGACACTCTAACCTTTAAAATGGTGTGCATTGAATAACAATATAATGAAATATGAGTTTTTAATTACTGCTTGTTTCAAAGATTTCTAGAACTCCGAAAACGAAAAAAATTTCTGAGATCATTCGAGACATCTCAAAATCCCATTTAAAATAAAAATGGGATAAAAAACTATTAAAAGAAAAAAAAAATATGAATGAATTACTATAAAGTGGTCCAAAATAGTGGAAAAAGGCAACTTTGACCCCTTTTTCAATGTTCTTGACAGGAAATAACGGGCTTCAAGGTACATGGATCGATACCTATGGATTTTCCCATTGTAATAAACTTTGAATCATCGAAAAATATCAATTTTTGACCGAGTTCTAAAACAATTTGTCCACCCGTTTACAAGCTAATCAGCATTGCTATAGAGATAAAGCAGGGGCTGAACGAGGGGATTTTTGATTGCGGTTATCTCGAAACCTGTCAAATTCCCGACAAAAATGAAGGAGACCATTTTTGTAGATAATGATAAGATCTTTCTTTTTTATCTAAACAAAAATTCTCTAATTTGCATATTGAGGAAGATATTGGCCGGAAACCAGTTTTAGGATCCATTTTGGGGCCTTTCCGACGCAGCAGAGTTGGTAAAAGTTTTCGACCTTGGAAGCGACTGCCAAGACCTAAGAGTTGAAAAGATAAACTTATGGATAATTTCACGCCATCAAAGTTCAACCAATAAAATATAAGCATTTCTTAACGTTTCCATGACAGCCTGCGTATTTTTTCGGAAATATTCTTTTGCTGGAGTATCCTGGATGCTATTGCAGCGGAGATTTTTTAACTTATTACAGTGAATAGTGATAACACGAAACTTTATAAAATGTTAACTGCCAACAATAAACAAGCGCGTTTTGTTAAACCTTCTATTATTATCTAATATTAAAAGAATGAAAACACGTAAACAATACAAAATGATTTATTTTTTAGAAACAATAATTTTTAGCTACAAATTTTAAATGTTCCTTGGATTCTTTTTCTACCTCCTCTTTTTTTGGACAAACTTCAATGGACAAATTATTGAATAAATGTCTATTTTAAATAATACAGGAAAACAATTATGTTAAGTTGTTTTCCACGTAGAAATCTGAAAATTCTTGATTTTCTATAAGATGACTCTGAACGATTACTGAACGAAGTTTTCTAGTATTTAAACTGAATTATAGCAAAACCTTCCTTTTAATAAATTATAGACACTTTAATTTGACTGAATAAAACAAAAAATATAAATGAAAACTGTGCAGTGTATAGCAGATGATTTTGAAAACAACAGCTCTTTGTAAGAAATTTACTATTTATTTTAATAATAAACTTTAACAGATGTTTAAATTTGAAATATTTCAAGTTTATGTCATTAAGACAAGCTCAAAGTTTATCAGGCTAATAAATTTTAATGGCTATCCTTTAACTGGCTGTGTATCTGTTTAGTTGTGGTTTGCAAACACTTTTTGGAAAATATTGACGACAAACGCTCTAGAATAGTATTTTGTGCAACAAGAGTGGATATGATGGCCATATCGCACGAAGCTCAATCGTCTGAGTGCGAGTAGTACAGTATATTTTTTTGTAAGACCCATTAACGAAATACTACAAATTTACAAAAATATTTGAGGTAATTAAGACAAAATAACGAATTTAACAATAATTTATGAATTTGGCTGATTTTTATAATAAAATAAACATGAAAAAGAAACATTTTATTTACTTAGTGCCAAGCCGAGATTCGATCCCAGGCTTTTCGCGAGGACGGCAGACGCTCTGTCCTCAGCAGTAATTAAATTAGTTTGATTATTAAAAAAATGTGGACCAAATAAAAATAAAAATGCTATTATTTATCAATTCTACACAAAAACTCATTTTAATGTATAGTTATTTAATCTTAATAACTAAAAAATATACTGACAATTAGTTTGACAGAATTGTCACTTATTTAAAATTTTAAAAATAATAGTAGTTGGGGTTTGGTGGGTGGGTGGCTCAGTGGTAGAGTCTCTGCCTGCGGATCCAAGGGTTCCAGTTTCAAATTCCACCGTTGGCCGGGATTTTTTCATTTAATTTAATTATTTAGAATTAATTATAATGCCTTGGTAGGATTCCCCACTCGACCATTCACTGTTGGGTTCTAATAAACAGTGCTGTTCCTAAAGTGGCGCTGGAAAACAGTCACAAAGCTTACACAGAACACGAGGCGAAATAACCAGAGCAGTTAAAGCCGATGATACACAAAAATAAATAGTAGTTGGGTGTCCAAAATATGAACTGTGATTGGTGGATTTAATTTTTTTACAGTGTTCTCACTACCTAGAATGGATATGAAATTTATTTGATCAGTTGAATGCAATTATATATTTTTCCATTTTGTAGTCTGTGCATAGATAAGCTAATATCCATGTGGGTGTAAAAAAAATAATAGTAGTTGGTGTCCAAAAAATTAACTATATGATTGGTGGATTTCATTTGTTTGCAGTGTTTTCACTATCTAAAATGTATGTGAAATTATTATTTATTTATCCAAGTAGACCTCCTCTGTAATAACAGAATGATTAGACTGTACTAAATGACATTTAAAACAAACAACGGGCTCCGAAACATCAAATAATCACTTTTTTCTGTGACAGATATTCTTTGCTGTGACGTGAAAAAAGTTTGACATTTTATCTCTCTTGTCAGGTAACAAAATGTCACTTTTTATGAAATTACTTTTTTCAAAAAAAGTTTTCCCGGGAAAAAAAGTTTTCCCGGGAAAAAAGTGTTTTCCCGGGAAAAAAAAGTTTTCCCGGGAAAAAAAGTGTTTTCCCGGGAAAAAAGTGTTTTCCCGGGAAAAAGTGAGTACTCTTTTTCGGATATATGTACATTGTACTTATAAGTAAAGGTAGACATTATAGAATATTTTTTTCAATATTAAATCGTCATTTTTCCCGTCACAGAAAAAAAATAGTGCATTATACACGGGAAAAATATTAGATTTTAGCTCTCGGTTTTTTGTCTTTTTCCGCTTCGCGTTGGAAGACAACACAACCTCGAATTAAAATCTAATACTTTTTTCCCTTGTGTAATAAATAACTATTATTTACAATACTATACATTAGTTGTCTTTTTAACGAATATCTCAAGTTAAGCCCTACATAGCAATCGCTTAAGATTCACGAAAACATTATAAAATGTTTTTTATTCATACGAACTTTTACTTATTAAGCTTTAGCTTTTGCTAATAAGTAATTATGGCTTATAGCAACATTCCAGCGTATAATTCCGAAATCAAAACATTCTATATAAATCACAGATCCCTTCATCGATGTTATAAATCCTACAACACGCTGTCCAACTTTTTGACCTCTTAATAATTAAAAGTGTATGGGTACAAAGTTCTCCCATAACTAGTTTTTGAGATATAGGGTGTTAAAAATATTTTAAAACAGAACTTTTAATATCTATGAATATCAGCTAAATAACAACGTTTACGTCTTAAAGTATTTTTAAATATTATGAGATTTCACAAATTCAACATCCTGTATCTCAAAAACTACTCATAGGAGAACTTTGTACCCATTGACACTTTTAATTAAAAGGTCAAAAACTGCAACACATATTGTGTTAATTTTTGTATTTATTTCGTACATTTACCAGCCTACAATAATTATCGGAGATCAAATTTTATCTCAAGTTCAAGCAAAATAAATTCTCCTACACTTAGGTGCTGCAAATCATATACATATTATCAAACTTTGTCTGACAATCACTAAATTTTAAAATGTAATAGTGAAAATTACTGCTCCCGGTTTTGTCCCGTTTTGTGTTCTTTATTAAAATTAAAATCATTTACATATTCCGAATATCAGTCAGCCACACCGAGAACATGTATAAAGCACGGGCAAATGACAATAAAAATATTCGACTAATCGTTTTCACTATTTGTGAACATGATAACGATTCGGTTCCGAAAGTGAAATCGAAGTGGAATTCTCTATTATATTGTTTTCTTATCTTTACTTAATTTATTTGTTTTTAATTAAAGTAGTCGTTTATTAATTGACCTTTAAATAATGTAAATGTGATACAAGTTGGTATTGATAAATATTTATCCTACCATTT